ATCATTAATTATTATAACTATCAGCCATTAACATTTATTATGTTTTTCTATTTCAAATTCATACTTGAAAATGTCTAAATTGCTCATGTGCCATTTTCTCAAATTAATGAACTTTTCATTCAGAACTAAAAATGCAGCCGAGTCATTTTTTGTTACCACAACAATACTACAAATTATGAAAACCCCAAAAACAAATCTGAAAAGATTTAAAACTTTTATTGATATCGATTACAAAACAGTTATCCACAACAACAAAAACTACGCAATAAGCACGTTTGGTCTATAAAAATTGCAACGTTCTCTTTCGTATATCCAAGTGATTTGGGTTGGAGAACGCAGAACAAACTACGAAATTATTTCACGTTTTGTTTTTGGGTTTATGAAATTATTTGCAAAAAGACAAATCAAACAAAAGATTAACCCAATTATCTGCAGAGAAATAAATGCTTCTAAGCCAGTGAAACATCCCGTAATCGTTACTCCGTGCTCGATGGTAGTGCAACGACTATTTTAGAGAATTTCTGAATGCATATCAACAAGAATTGTGCTGGGTGTCATCATAACCGCATGGCATGGGTTCATCAACAACAACAACAAATCACAATCGAAAATGTTGTTCAATCATAAACAGAAACATAAACAGTTAGAAATGTAAATATTAGGCCATGGCCCAAAGCAGAATCAACATGTCGGCCGTTTTCATATAGTTTAGGTTCATCTCGATAGATCAAAGTGAACCTTTTTAAAATTAGTAATACGTAGTTAAGTTCGTGTCCTAAGTCCTTTAAATCAAGTATATCCTTACATGTAATCTATTCTATACATTCCATATTGAGTGTATGACGAAACCAAAAACTCGAAATGTGAAAATAAACGAGATTCACGAATATTCAAAAACCCGGAGTCTATGTGGGAATGAACAGATTTTTATACCCTCAGTCATATGGCTAGAGAGGGTATATTTCATTTGATACGGCCAAAACGTACCTCATCTCTCTGGACCAGATCCGTTTCAGGACATTTAGAGCCCATCTACCTGTGTCCATCCGTCCGTTTGTCTGTCTGTCTAGCTGGCTGTTGCGCACAATAACTCTGAAAGGGAGTATCCGATTTGATCCACACTTGGTGCATAGTAATATTATTATCAAACTTAGATCGAGTTTCAAGATGGACAAGATTGCCCCACTCCATCTGCTACCTCCCCCCCAAAAGGTCGAAATTTTCAAAAAAATATTTTACTGCCCACAAAGAGAAAGGATAGTCTTAATTTGCTCCAACTTTGCAAATTCTAAAATGTTCATCAGTACTAGGTCAGGTGAGAAAATGGACAATATCGGTTCACTCCATCAAGGGTCAAAATTTTGAATAATAAAATGTGATGTAAGAGTCCGATTATCTTCAAATTACACACATCACAATATTTTTATTAAGCCAAGGTCTGCTGCGAAGGGTCAAAATTTTGAATATCCATTAAGCGCATAAAACGCGAAATTAACTTCCGATTCCATTCAGACTTGGTACATCTCAATATTTCTATCCACACAAGATCTGTTATAAAGATGGTAGTGATCGGACCATTCCTTCTGGTACGTCCCCTACAAAATGTCCCCTGTACATCCCCTACATGTCGCATTTATCGCCCGATCAAGATGAAACTTTGCACAAAATTGGAGATAATCGGTCAAAATTTAGAAAATATCAAAATGTTCTTCGTCCTATTTGCATTTTTTTTTTTTGGGAACAAATGTGTAATTTTAGTCCAAATCGAATGGAATTGGACATATACGACCAAATTGAGCCTAGAAACAAGAGCGTCAAATTTGTTGGAAATGGGTTCAAACATAGCTCCCATATATATTCTTCATCCGTTTTGTTAAATTTTTCCTCCACACAATGATATTCGGATAAATATATCAAATGCAGCTCAGAAATACCTTTGCCAAATTTTATCGAGATCGATTTTTTATGGATATAGCTTCCATATACATCTTCACTCGATTTCAAGTTTATTGTGCACCAATCGCTTTATATAAGCTCGAACTGAATATATTTTGGCACACACGAACGAATTTAGCCGCATATAAGTACCTCTGCTAGATCAAATTTCACGTTTATTGTACCTAAAAATATAATATCAGCTCAAATAGGATGGATTTTAATGAATTTAGATTCAGACACAATTGCCTTCGTCAAATTAAGTAAAATACAAAAGAAGCCTGCAATATATTAGTTGTTTTCTAAATTTTACCTCAATCGGACAACCAATGCGACCTTTTCATTGTTTCCAGAACATACAGGGTTGCCCATATTCGACGGACCCATGACTTCCAATCGACGAGGCTTGTCCGCAGGCAACATTCTTTGTGTCAATTGAATTTTGTACGGGAACAAATGCAAATCAATGCGAATAATCCGTTGTAAAGTGGACCGAGCCATGCCCAACTGCTGAGAACGGCGTTTTTGGGATGTTCTTGGGAACATCTCAACACTGGCTCGTACGGCAGCGATATTCTCGGCCGAAAATTTTTCGTATAAACGCTTAATGGTGTTCTTAGAAGGCGCACTTCTCACATTTTATACCCTCCACCAAAAAAGGTATGGAGGGTATATAAAGGTCGTCATTCCGTTTGTAACTCATCGAAATAATCATTTTAGACCCAACAAAGTATATATATTCTTGATCAGCGTAAAATTCTAAGACGATTTAGCCATGTCCGTCTGTCTGTTATAATCACGCTACAGTCTAAACGAATTAAGATAGAAAGCTAAAATTTTGCACAGATCTCTCTTTTGTCTGCAGGCAGGTCAAGTTCGAAGATGGGCTATATCGGTCCAAGATATCGTATATCCGCCATATAACTGTACCCCCGATATTCGGTATTTTGATGATTTTAGCCACATTTTTCAATGGAATTGTCTGAAAATCCACACAAGTAGTTCCTTGTGGGTACTTTATACCTCGGCAGAGAATTATCTATATAGGTCTACTATATCGTATAGCCCCCATATAACGGTACCCCCGCGGTATTCGGTATTTTGATGATTTTAGTCACATTTTTCAATGGAATTGTCTGAAATTCCACAAAAGGAGACCCTTGTGGGCATTTTACCCCCTCAAAAAGAATTGTCTATATAGGTCCACGATATCGTATATCCCCCATATAACTGTACCCCCCGATATTCGGTATTTTGATGATGTTAGCCACACTTTTCAATGGAATTGTCTTAAAATCCACACAAGTAGTTCCTTGTGAGTACTTTATACCTCGGCAGAGATATCGTATGCCCTCATATAACGGTACCCCCGATATTCGGTATTTTGATGTTTTTAGCCATATTTTTCAACGGAATGGTCACAAGGGGTTCTTTGTACACAAGGGGTTCTTTGTGAGCACTTTACCCCCCGACTGCGAATTCTCCATATAGGTTAACGATAACGTATAGCTCCCATGTAACGGTACCCCGCGATATTCGGTAGCCACATTTTCCATTCGTATTGTCTGAAAATCCACACAAGGAGTTCCTTGTGAGTACTTTACACGCAGACATAGATTTGTCTTTGTAGGTCCACAATATCGTATATCCCCCCATATATCGGCACCTTCCTATATTAGATATTTTAAAGATTTTTTAATGGATTTTATTTTTTTGAAAATTTTCTAATTCGTTTCAAATGGTGGAGGGAATTCAAAGTTCGGCCCGGCCGAACTTACTGCTTTTTTACTTGTTTTAATGTTTAAAAAGCACGTTGAGTTTTCACAATTGACTTCTTCTGTTGAATGTAAATTTCAACTATTTCGCGTGGCGTGTATTGGTGGATATCACAGAAAAGAACTATGGGTCTATCTCGTTTTTGAAAAAAAAATATATTGGCTATCTAAAGGAAAAAAGATCAATTCACAAATTCCAAATATAAGAAAGGTACTTTTTTCTTTTTTTATTTAATTTAATTTTTATTTTAATTGAAAATCCATAGGGTAAGTGTGCCTATGTTCGGCAGGTCCCAGTAGTCGCACTTTTTATTTTTAAGCCCAAATAAATGAAACTATTATAACTAAATGTATTTTGTTTACTTCAAATATATTGTCAGCTATCTTTGTGCACAATTTCGCTAAGAAAATATGAATTATTCTAATAAAAATTAAATTTTTGTCTGTGAAGGTCCTCAATAATTCATATTCTAAGAAAAGTACAATAAAGACGTCAAATCAGTTTAACTAAACAAAAATATTATATTTTTATGAATTAATTTATTATTATTTTAATTATTCTTACAAAAAAATTGGTATGCCGACTGTTGGAAAATGCCATACCGACAATTGGCAAGAGGTGCCGACTACTGGCAAAAAAGCATTGTTTTAATAAAACTACAAATTTATGAAATTTAATAAAAAGTTATTAAAACTTTATTTATTATTGCAAAAACTATACAAAATTTCGAATCTGAATATATTAACTTTGTAATAATTGAAATGTTCCACTCAGAATAGTGAGCGAGCGGCTTAAAACAATGTGCAAAATTTTACTCACATCTGTAAATGTAATACCAACACACATATATGACACGTGTATATACAATTTATAGAACATCTTTTAGTTGATGAGAGAAATGAGATGACAAAAGAATTAAAGTGATACGATTAATCTTACATTCTGAACTTGGAATGCACAGAGATTATGGAGAGCGAATAGTTACACGATTTTTGGTGTCGATAACCTACAAAATTCCAAGTGATATATTCTTTTCGTGGTAGTGGCTTGCGTTTTCGTTGATAAGTTTGCGGGCAGAAAGTCAAGCTCAGCAAACCAAAGCCAACATGCAATGAATGGAATGCATCTCACCATCAACACTAATACAAGACAACTTTGCAATGGTATTGGTTAACTAGCTATGCCATTTGGGTTCGTATAAAACCATTTGATCTCAGAATTAAAGCGAATAGTTAGTTAAAGCTTTCGCATCTCGCATCGTATTGTACAAGCTGTGGTAGTCGGTTACGTAGTGTTCGAAAAGTGAATTTCCAAAAAAAAAAAAAAACAATGTCCCGCCAACGTTGGCTTTACGGTTTCTATGTGTTTGTATTGGTGTTACTATTGTCGTGCCGCTCATCGTATGGCGGATATGCAAATAACGACATCATCAGTAGTGGTCGCCACGAAAAATGTCCCAATGACGGTGTACCAGTTTGTTCGGCCAAAGGCAGTGATTTTTTACTCTTTCCCAATCAGTGTTTGCTGACCGAGGCCAATAGAAATTTCTACCAGAGCAGGGGAGAATGTATGTGAATCGATGTTGTGTTGCGTTGTGTTTTAAACGCCAAATCAATGAATTTGTTGGTGAAAATATATATGTATGATTTTCTTGTAGATTTTCCAAAGTTCCCGTTGCAACGTTGCATACACGGCTGTCGCATTGCTTGTCCGAAGGAGTATAAACCGATTTGTGCAATAAATTTACAAACCCGCGAGAGGAAATTATTTGTGAGTTTATGTGAACTTACCAAATATGCTTGTAAAACTAGTCTGGGTAAGTTGATGATAATTGAATTTGAGTTTTTTTTATAATTCATGAAAAATTGCATATGGAAGAAAGTGTATCAAATATGGTGAAATTCGATTTAGATATACCTATATGTCCCATATATATGTTTCATCCTATTTTGTGTTTAAGTCCCTTAAACCCGTAAAATGTTCCCTATAACAACTATATTTGCTCCCAGCTATCAGATACAGAATAGAAATACCTCAGCTAAATTTTATTGAGATCGGTTCAGATATATTTTCATCCGATTTCACGTTCATTGTGCCTAAAAGTGCAATATCAGCTCAAATAAAATGGATTTGATGAATTTCGGTTCAGTCCGTCATTTGGTAGAAATCGATTAAGAAAAGGGTACACAAGGTGAGACAAAAAACTGCAACAAAGGCAAACGTCATAATATATACATTTTTTTACATTTTATTGAGCAAAAGCAAAAAAAGGTCGGAAATAACATCACATTTTAGAATAAGTGTAGATTTGTTTGAATTGGTCACCTTTGGCACGAATTATGGCCTTCAAACGGCCAATGAAACCGTCACACGCTGCCCGAATGTTGCTCTGCGGAACTTTGGCACATTCCCGGTGAAGCGCTTGCTTGAGATGATCGACACTTTGGTATTTTTTAGTGCCAACCTTGCTTTCCAAAATACTCCAAACACAATAGTGCAACGGATTGGTATCCAGAGATTTTGGTGCGCTAGAAATGAAGCGAGGAACCTAATTTTGTTACCATTCTTGGGTGGGGCGTTCTGAGTCCTGTTGGAATGTCCAAGGTCTGCGGCCAAAATGTTTGCGTGCCCAAGGCTTTAAATCACCCTCCAGAATATTGTCGCTATAGTATTCGCCATTTATTCTGATGTCACGGTCGATTAATACGAGCGAAGAGCGACCATCGGCTAATATGGCGGCCCACATCATCAGCGCTTGAGTTCTGGTGACCAACCGAAGGTGCACATTTTCAGCTTACATCTTTGGCAAGTAAACGCTATAATTTTGTTTGTTTACAAACTGCTGGACAACGAATGTTTTCTCATCGGAGAAAACCGCGTTCGGCCAAGCGAATCAACTCTTTACCTCTTTTGAGTCTATTTTCCTTCTGTTGCGGTGTATGTTCTTCCATTTTGCATTTTTTTCATTTTGCAATATTTGCCAAATAGAATATTGCGATATATTCAGCTCACGAGCCATTTTTCGGCCACTGCGACACGGGTTTCGATCAATTCGCTTCTCTACTTTCCGAACCATTTCTGCGAATGTTGCTATTTTCTTCCGTCAATTTCCTTGACTTCGGGCTACGCTACCAGTATCAGGGTAACGAGCGTCGGCACGAGATACAAAACATTTATTCAGATTTATCACGCTTGAATTCCATCACGAATAACTTTTTTTCTGGAAAATTCTGACAAAAATGCTTTTGTACGTTTGTAAACAATACAATGTGCTATCACTGGAATATTTTAACAGCAGTCGGACGAGTAGCTTAGAAATGACAGAAGCTTGAAGTTGATTCCAGTTGAAGTTGATTCTCAGCCCGTAGTCTAACGTTTGCAATGAGCCTCAAATAGGTGTACCGGCCGAAAATATTTTTTTTTTCACCTCTCGTTGTTTAAAATAGGAAAATGTCATCGATGGCTTAATTCAGCGAATTTGGTAGATAAGGTCCCAATTCGTAATTAACGTTTGTGGTCAAATGAGAACAACCACTGCATCCATATAGCAGTGAGGTTTTTAAGACAAACAAAAAAGTAAACCTCAATTGCATTTCGAAACTATTTCGAGCAGAACTAAAAAAAAATTAACTTTTCCATGTAAAATATAGAAAAAATGAAAGAAAAGAAGCCATTTCATACCCTGCGTACACTCAAACCAGTAGGAAGCCACAGTACTCTAAAAAATTTAAATGATTTGTAGATTCTGTTGATCTAATATAAAAACGTCCCTTAATGGTCCTAGCTACGACATAAACTATATTTTCTTCTCTTTGAATTATACCAAATACAAGAATGGATAACTCATCAACATCATAACTAACAAGCGAAACATTTTCAGAATTTGTAAAATTAGAATATTCCGATTGTGAAGATGCAAGAAACAAACTGGCAAATTATCGGAAACCTAAAGAACAACTACGAAGAAAACGAAGACCGATTCCATGCACATCGATATTTAGACCGGTGTGTGGACAATATATGGGTGTTAAATCGACCTTCCGCAACGAATGTATATTGAATGCCGAAAATGTCAAATATGGAAAAGGTTTTTTTCTAAGTCAATATTAAATCATTGTAGGCAAAATCGACCAATTGATGGGGATTTGAAATTGGTATTTTAAAAATTAAGGAAAATTGAGATCTATTCGAAAATTAAAATGGAATAGGTTTTACAACAAAATTACTAACACCTGCAGATATTTATATCTTTTGAACGATTTTGCCTGCAATTTTGAAAGCAACTAATTAAAATTAATTCATTTTTTTATTTCTTCCCAGATTGGCGTGTTATCAAGTATGGCATCTGTGATGAAGATTATTCCAATTCAAGATTACGTCTCGACATTAAGCCACCCAAATTGCATGGCATCACAAAACGAAGTTATGAAAAGATTAGCTACTCCCCCAACCAAGAGGAGAGACAAGATTTTCTGAATTACAAAACGGAATCGATGATGACTAATGAAAATAGAATACCCAGCGAAACGTATCCGAACTATATGTTGCAATATCAAAATCCTTTCTTGATGACGCCACATATGTTCCAACCCATGAATCCTTTCAATCATATATACCCCGACATGCGAAACATGTATGCGCCAGAAGAGACTCAAAGACCACTGGCGGAAGAAAATAATGCTGAGAGTGTACCAGATCAGCAATTCGAAGGCACTGACCCAAAACCCATGCCATATTCATCACTAAATGATATGCCATTAAATTATGCTGATGCTAATATCAAATATGAGAATGAAAAACATAATTTTGTGAATGGCATAAAATATGAAAATGAAATACCTAATTTTTACCCAAATAACATAAATATTGAAAACGAAAGTCCCATTGTGGAACCTGTTGTCAAATCTATGCATAATTTATATAATAGAAATTTTGAAGATTTACATACAGATCAAAGAAATTTGCCATTATATGGAGATGAAAATATGATCCCCTTACGGTCCTACAACGATGAGTTTTCGACTAGAATAGGCAATAAAGGAGATAAATCATACTCGTCCAAAGCAAATCGAAAGGAAAAGACGAATAGAAAGAGAACCGAATGTAAATATGGTTCTGTGAAAATATGCGGTGTTCTAAGCAATGGCACTGTTCGCACCTTTGAGAATATTTGTGAAATGCGAAGCACGAATTTGTATTTGAAAAATAGTAAGTATACATTTTTGTATTTATATGATATGTCACTACAAGGGTAGGTTATGTTGAAATTTTTGAAGTGCAATCTTTTATCTATTGATTTAAGGGTAATTTCAATTTTATAAAACTAAAAATTGGTTATACCCTACACTAAGGTAAGGGTATTATGTATAGAATCACTTTCTAAATCGATTTACGCATGTCAGTCCGTCCGCCCGTCCGTCTATGTATTCTTGTGAACAAAATGCAGGTCGCATTTATTATCCGATTAAGATGAAATTTTGCAAACAATATTTGTTTGGTCCAATGACGAACCCTATTGAAATTGGTGATAATCGGATCAGATTTAGATAGAGCTCCCATATATCTTCAACCGATTTCGTGTTAATTGGGCACCAAATGGCTAATCTAAAATGACCTGTATTTTGGTACATCCGACCGAATTCAGTCTAGAAGCAAGTAAATCGAATTTGGGGAAAATCGGTTCAGATATAGCTATATCTCCGATATATATGTCTCATTCGATCCGGGGTTTTAAGTCCCTCGCATGCGTAATATGCTCTCCAGAAGAATTATATTTGGTACCGGACATCGGATACTACTCGAAAATACCCCTGTCAAATTTTGTCTAGATCGGTTCAGATTAGGATATAGATCCCATATATATCTCTATCCGATATCAGTTTTATTGTGCACCAAATGGCTAATATCAACCCAAATGGAGTGAATTTTTGGCAATTATGACTGAATTCACCCTATAAACCAGTACTTCAAATTTGGTGTAAATCGGTTCAGATATAGTTATAGCTCCCATATATATGTTTTATCCGATTTGGGGTGTAAAGTCCCGCACAAGCGTAATATGCATTCCACAACAATGATCTTTGGTACCAGATATCTTATAAAGATCGGAAATATCGATTTCGGGTTAATTGTGCACGAAATGATGAATATCTGTCAAAAAGTCCTGTATTTTGGTACATCCGACCGAATTTGATCTAGAAGTAAGTACATCAAATTTGGAGAAAATCGGTTCAGATAAAGCTATAGCTCCCATATATATGTTTAATCAGATATGCATTCGACAACAATGATATTTGATACCGAATATCTTATAAGGCTCGGAAATACCTTTGCCAAATTTTATCGAGAACGGCTAAGATTTGGATATAGTTCCCATCCTTATCGATTTCAGGCTTATTGTACAAATAATCAGACCAAAAAATGAATTCCTATTTAAGATAGGAAGTTAACATTTTGCCACGATATCGTATAGCCTCCATATAACGGTACCTCCCGATATTCGGTACTTTGATGATTTTAGCCACATTTTGCAATCGAATTGGCTGAAAATTCTCACAAGGAGTTCCTTGTGAGTAATTTATCCTCTAAAGGAGGATTGTCTATATAGGTCCACAATAGCGTATATACCCCATATTTCGGCACCTTCCGATATTCGGTATTTTTAAAATTTTAACAGAATTTTTAATTCGTTCCAAATGGCGGAGGGTATTCGAAGTTCGGCCGGCCGAACCTACTACTTTTGTACTTATATAATCCTTCTCCAAGTGATATCATGCACTCTATAACAAACTATAACTGCCCTAAAGCCAAATATTGATGGGTGGTATGATCGAAATTAATTTGTTACTGGAGCTCTACTAAATATGCGCAGTGGTGTAGGGTATCATATAGTCGGCCCCGCCCGACTTTTGACTTTTCCTTACTGGTTTTTAGCTGGCTTGTGAATTGGCAAATGCTGTGAATTGAAATCGTCTTCGCCAGAAATGAGCCATGCAATCGAGGTTTAAGCGGACCTAATGAGAGAAAATCGGAGTACATTAGTAAATAATAAAATTTCTAACTATATATCCTCTATTGCAGCCTTCGTAAAACTTCATGAAGGGCGTTGTGACAAATGCAATTATGACTGTGAACGCGAATATCAACCGATTTGTGTTCAACGTAATGGTGTGAATTATACCATGGTTAATGAATGCTATTTCAATATGGCCATATGTTTGGATAAAATAAGCAGTAAGTTCACAAACTTAGTAGAATAATTAAGTGTGATATTAATATATTTTAAAATTAAAGATTGGACGAAAGTTGCAAATGGCGAATGTCATCGCAAAACCCCTATACTTGATCGATATGAAAATCAAGCACCAGGATTTAAATATACCAGTAATTATTTTGCACCCACGGCAACAGAGAGTATGCCAACAAGTACCACAGAAGGTCCAGCTAAAACAAATGCCAAAAGTAAGCAATCCACCAAATCATCCAACACTAAAGCAAAAACTGCTGCTATCCAAACGCGAAAGGAGAATAACAAAGAACTCGAAGATAAATCTCTAGTTGATCATGTAGTCAGGAGACGTTCTAATTGGTCAATGGGACACTATATGGAGCCAGAAATCAAATCGTTTATAATGGATTTGGTACACCAAAGGCAAGGTAATACACAAATTGGTCTTTGATATTGAAGTATTGAAAGAGTCTTAGCGAATATAGTCAATTTAGGATTAATGTTGTTATTATACGAATTTTTGTAGCCTTTTTTTAATAAATAAAATAATATTGGAATATTTTAAAATTCGTTTTGTTGTTAATAATTGACGAATATATCAGTGAGATGAAAAAACTGCAACCATCTTCAGACTGCTGCCATTTCTAAGCCACTCGTCCGACAGCTGTTAAAATTACTCCAGTGATAGCTCATTATATTGTTTACAAGCGTACAAAAGCATTTTTGTGAGAATTATCCAGAAAAAAGTTATTCGTGATGGAATTTAAGCGTGATAGTGTGATATAAAGAATTATATTTGGCTGGAAAACCACAAGTGGCTATCGTTAGAGCACCCTAGCATTTAAATGTGAATAAACCTTTTATGTCTCGTACCATCGCTCGTTACCGTAATACTGGTAGCGTAGCCCGACGTCAAGGAAGTGGACGGAAGAAAACAGCGACATCATCAGAAATTATTCGAAAAAAAAACGAAGCGACTTGATCGAAATCCGCGTCGCAATGGCCCTAAAATGGCTCGTGAGCTGAACATATCGCAATATTTCATTCGGCAAATATTGAAAAATAAGCTCATTGAAGTTCCAAAAAAATCAAGAACTTACATCGCAACAGAAAGAAAATAGACTCAAAAGAGCTAAAGAGTTGTCAAAGAGGTCAGCTGAAAATGTGCATCTTCGGTTGGCCACCAGAACTCAAGCGCCGGCCATGTTTATGGTGTAGGCCGCCATAACAGCCGATGGTCACTCTCCGCTCATATTTATCGACGGTGGCATCAGAATAAATAGGTTCCTCGCTTCATTTCCAGCGCGCAATGGCCACCAAAATCTCTGGATACCAATCCGTTGGACTATTGTGTCTGAAGTATTTTGGAAAGCAAGGTTGACACTAAAGATACCAAAGTGTCGATCTCCTCAAGCAAGCGCTTCGCCAGGAATGGGCCAAAATACCGCAGAGCAGCATTCGGGCAGCATGTGACGGTCCCATTGGCCGTTTGAAGGCCATAATTTGTGCCAATTCGAACAAATTTAAACTTATTCTATAATTTTATGCTATTTCCGACATTTTTGCTTTCATTCAATAAATTAAAAAAATGTAAAAATTATGGCGTTTGACTTTGTTGCAGTTTTTTTATCTCACCCTGTATAATATTTAAAACAATCCTTCAGGTTTTATATTTTTAATAATCAATGTAAATGTATGTACTTACTTTGGAAAACCCGCTCGCATACATATTAATCCAAACAATGGATAGCAATTGTTTTTTCTCTCTTTTCATCTCATATTTAGTATTCAAGATCACGGCTTCAGAAAGAAACTGAAAATACAAAACAATGTTAAAAATGTAAAATTGGCATTTTTAACCAGATCACATACAGTTTATACGAGTTCATTGAAGTGTAAGTCACAAAATTTCAAAAAAAAAAATATATAAATGAATGAAAAATTGCTGAATTATGAAAACTGGTGTTTATGTAAATATGAAAAGTAATTTGAGTTTCATTCAGTTTTCAATAAAAACTATATATACATACATAAATAATACAATTTAAGGGAAAGAGTTAATGCATTTATAAAATTGCTCATAAATTGATTCTGTAATATTAAATTCCGCCAAATCATTTTGTAAACAAATAAATATATCGCTTTTATACTCTCTGCCATGTGACATCTTGCATAACACTGGGCAGCACAACAAATAACTACAGGAAAATACAGCAAATTATGAAGGTAGAAACAGCAGACACGTGTATCGGCGTTTGGCAAAGTAACCTAAGTTCCAATTTCTTTCACATTTTTTTTTTAATATTCGATTTTTTGGAATCTTTATACAGGGTGAGATGAAAAAACTGCAACCAATTTCAGACTGCTGTAATTTTTAAGCCACTCGTCCGACAGCTGATAAAATTATTCCAGTGACAGCTCATTATATTGTTTACAAGCGTACAAAAGCATTTTGGTGAGAATTTTCCAGAAAAAAAGTTATTCTGTCTCGTACCATCGCTCGTTACAGTGATACTGACCAATCGGTAAATATTAAGAAATGAACTAGAGGTAAAGCCATTGAAATTCCAACAAGTTAAAAAGCAGTAAGTTCGGCCGGGCCGAACTTTTAATATCCTCCACCATTTGCAAACGAATTTGGAAATTTTCAATAAATGCAATAAAATCCTTAAAAAATTCTGTTAAAATTTTAAAAATACCGAATATAGCCGTTATATTTGGGTCTATACGACGTGGACATACATAGGCATTGTTTGTCATAAGCCATTACCATATTCAAATTCGAAACTTGAAAAAAACGGTGAATAATGTAGCTAAAATCATCAAAATATCGTATATAACGAGGTGCCGTTAAATTGGAGACAATTTTCTGTCACAGGCTGTAGCATCCATTACGAACTTCAAATACCACCTCTCAAACAATTTCGGTGGGCATTGTGCCTAAAATCGTCAAAATACCGAATATAGGGAGGTACTGATATATGAGGCCTATACGAAGACCTGGACCCGCACAGACAATTTTCTGTCACAGACTGTAGTTCCCATAACGAACTTCAAATACCAATTTTGAAACAATTCCGGTGAATAATGTCGCTGAAATCATCAAAATATAAAAATCGACTTAGAATTTTACGCTGCTCAAGAATATATATACTTTGTTGCGTCTGACATGAGTATTTCGAGGAGTTACAAACGGAATGACAAAGTAAATATACCCTCCATAGTATGCTGGATGGTATAAAAAGTGCAAGAACTTACACCGCAAGAAAATAGACTCAAAAGAGCTAACGAGTTGCTTCGCTTGTCCGAAAGTGGTAAACTGCCGATGAGAAAACATTCGTTGTCCAGCAGTTTGTGAACTTGCCAAAGAGGTCAGCTGAAAATGTGCACCTTCGGTTGGCCACCAGACCTCAAGCGCCGGCCATGATGGTGGTGTGGGCCGCCATAACAGTCGATGGTCGCTCTCATTTGTAGAAAATGTAGATGACCATCTTACAGAACAATTTATAGATATACATATATATTTTGATATAGTCCCCACATAGCGGATCCTCTACTAAATACGCATATTGGCATAGGGTCCTTTATTTACTGTTTTTTAAGTTATCGTACTCATCTAAAGAAAGCATTTTTCTCTAACCGCCTTATTCAAATAACAAAATTTACTGAACAGGGAACTGCCACACTAAAAACTTCTACAGTATTGCCATAACTAAAAAAATTTCAATAGCTACAAATGTGGCAACTTTCTGCATTTGAAACAGCTGTTGTTTGTTTGGCAGAGGAAAGTGGATATTTGTTTATTTAATAAAAAAACTCTAAAATTTGATTGAAGTGCTGTTGTGTTGTTGCTGTGAGCGGCAAGAGAAAGCTCTCAAGTGTGTGTTGTGACCGTTTGAACCGGAAAATCAAGAAAATATCTAAAAAGAAAATGACACCATAAACGTAAAGAATCTGAAAAACCACACACATCACATAACAAAAGATTGAAGAGAATCTGGCTAAAAACAGCGCCAGATACACGAATGTTGTCATTGGCAGTGAAGTGTCGTACTATTAGTGGAAGTGTGTCATCGTTGTATCGGGCAGTGAGTGCGTGCATGCGTTAGTTCGGTCGGTCGGTCGCCAATAAACAAATGTGCAAAAGAACAAAAGTGGATCAAATATTTTCTGTGATAAATTATATAATAGAATACAATTTCGCACATGTCTCAAACCATTGCAACTGCACCGCCACCCGCACCACCAAATTTGTTGCAACTAGCCGATAAGACTAATAGCCATACACCACAACGACAAAAACCTCAATTAGAAGAATGCCTGTGGGCAGTCGATCATCCGGAATTGCAAAAAGCCTGTTTTCTTGCCAGGATTTGTACAACGAGAAGACCGAAATCGTGTACGTACTACAATGTAAATAGTATACTACAGGTGGGACCGACGTGTGGTTTGACAGCGGTAAGCATGCTGCTGGGAGGTGTGCTGCCACCCACTGTTCTGCTACAGGAGGCCAAGGAGAGACACTACACCTACAATGGTGAAATGTTTAGTGCGTACAATTTGTTTCAATTGATCTGTGATTATTTGCCCATTATCAATGACGACAACAACAACAACAATACAATTGACGACAACAGCCTGCCATGCAAATTAAATGCCAATGACACAGATAGCCGACAAAACACAACAGCAGCAACCACAACAACAACAACACCTCAACAGCAAACAGCTGTTCATCAGAGACCCATCGAATGCCAAATGCACGAAGGTCGTTTGAATTGTGCCAAGGTCAGAGATGCACTACGTCAGGGAGCTTGTCTATTTGTACCGTATCCTTTTTAAACGAAAAAAAAAATATTTTTAGACATTGTCTGTGAGTAAGTAAACGAAAAGTGTATATATGTGACTGGCTATATTTATAAATTGTGGGCCATTCACATGTTTTACTTAGCGACAATACATGAAAGAGACCAGGCCGTTATTTTCGAAATTTTACAACATGAACGTAAAAAAGTAAAGAAAGGATTTTTATGTGAAATAAATGAAAAGCGTAGTTCGGCCGAGCAGAAACTCAAACACCTAAAAGAAGAAACCCACTGAAAATAACAGCATCGGTGTTCAATATTCGAACGAGTTCTATTTTAAACTGAGAATGTGAATTTGGTAGGATAACATAGTTAAAAGAGTTCAAATTACCGCAAAGCGGGGATGCCATTTTATGAGGACGTACCGAAACATGGACCCGTACTTCTATGTTTCCTTTTTATACACTCCACCATAGTATGCAGGGTATATTAAGTTTGTCATTCCGTTTGTAACACTTTGAAATATACATTACATTCTTGATCAGCATAAAATTCTATGTCGATTTAGCGATGTCCGTCCGTCTATCGGTCTGTGGAAATCACTCCAGCTCTCGAACGAAATGAAGTAGGTTGATAACATTTTACTCAAATGTATATAATGTCTGCATGACTTTTGGTATTGAAAATGGTCCACGTAAGCCCACGTTTTGGTATAGCCCCCATGTAATGGTACCTCCCTATTTTCGGTATTTTGGTTGTAGCGACATTATTCACCGGAATTGTTTCAAATTTGGTATTTGAAGTTCTTAATGGATACTACAGCCAATGACAGAAAATTGTCAGTCCAGGTCCGCGCATCCGTATAGCACCCACGCCTCCCCAATTTCGCTATTTTGATGATTTATTCACCGGAATTGTTTCAAATTTGGTAATTGAAGTTCTTAATGTAAGACAGAAAATTGTCTGTGCAGGTCCACGTCTTCGTATAGCCTCCATATAACTATATCTGCCAATATTCGATATTTTGATGATTTTAGCCACATTATTCACCGGAATTTTTTCAACTTTGGTATTTGAAGTTCGTAATGGATACCACAGGCTATTACAGAAAATTGTCTGTGCAGGTTCACGTTTTGATATAGCCCCCATATAATTGCCTCTCTATTTTCGATATTTTGATGATTTGGGACAGTCCCAAATATTTGTCCCGAAATCCCAAGTAACATCCCTGATGTAAATTTTTGTTGTATATGACTTTCCAATGTCATGTACGTCATGACATTCAGAATACTTAAATAAAAAATCGGGTGATTGTTTCTCCCCTAATTGGACGAACATAATCTACTATTTACATCAATGAAAGGGGAAATATATATGGGAGATATATCCAAATCTGAACCGATCTCTATCAAATTGGGTAAAGGTATAGTTAGGATGAACCCAATATCTTGTACAAAAAATCCTTATCATGGAGTATGTAATACGGACTTGGATATATAGGAGCTATAGCTAAATCTGGACCAATAATGTCAATGGTGTTCGTCCTTGGGTCATATAAATGATATGTGCAAAATTTCATCACTATAGCTTACCAAAATATATGGACAGAGGGAGGGAAGGACGGATGGACAGACATGCATAAATCGATTCAGTATCTGATTCTACAAAGATCATCAAAAGGACATATTTTGGTCTATCTCGTTTCCGTTTACATGTTATAAACAAATGCACAAAGAAATAGCACCATATACCAAAGCGTGGTGTCGGGTATAAAAAGTAAGTCACAAATTAGAGAACGATTCTTGATATTTGGAATAATTTTAAGTGGTCCAATACGTGACGCAATCACTCTATTCAAAAGTATTTAGTAAATTATAGCGCTTGATGTTTTCATGATTGTCTTCCTCCTTTCGAACAATCTTCATAGATTTGAAACCGATTCACTTCAATTTGAATGCTGAATACTGCAGTCTTTCTCAGGAGGAGGAGGAAACCGCGACTTGTCCTCTTTCTCCGAAACCATGCCAACAGTTATGCTTCAATTAGCCAGAAGATTAAAATGACTAAAGACAACACACTGATCACATCTCTATCTTCAACATTTTCCTTCTTTACTCTATTTATTTCCCTATTTTGTTTTCTCCAAATTGGGATGAACACAATGGACCAGCAGGTCACCGAGGGAGGGGTTGTTCAAACAACTGTGCATCCTTTAACCTAACCTAAGGTAGAAACAAAAACGCTGAAGTCGTATTTCATTTTTGATGGTGACTTGCATTTTAATAGTACATCAAAATAGTTCCTATAGTTTATTGCAAAAATGTTGTGAATAAATTTATATTCCTAAATTTCTTTAGCAACTCTAATTTTATCCAAGTCAACAACCGTTCGTTTCAGCATTGCCACATTTGTAATATCTTTTCGGTTTAGTATCGGCAATGCTATCAGCTGTTTATGACAAACGTTTATGTTGAGGTTATGCCTGTTCCATTAGCGTTTGCAAACAATTTATTGTTTGTTCGCCGAGAATTGTGAAAATAGTTTATTATTTATTTTAAAAACATAATTTTAAATACAAATTTCATATCATGGCCACCGAAGAGGAACAAGTAAGTATAAGATTCATGTATTTAGTTAATTATTTAAGGTTTTGTGTTTTGCATTAACATCTTTCAGACTCAGGTTGTTTTGCCGGTCAAGGAACCATTGGATCTGATACGTCTCAGTTTGGATGAAAAAGTTTACGTGAAAATGCGTAATGAGAGGGAACTAAGGGGACGACTTCATGTAAGTAACACAACCTGTGAATTTTAAAATTTGCAAAACAATTGCTAATATATGATATATTACGTGTGAAGCAGTCTCCACGATGTAATGAAGATCTGAGACCGGTGCTCCGATAGGTCCTCTGAGTATTTTTCAATGCAAATAGTACTCGAAATTAAGGCAATTTCGTCTTATAATTCCCATTGCACAGACTTCATAATTATAAAATTCTGAATTATTGTCTACCTCAACTATATACCAGTGATTTGTTTAGGACACCCTAAATAAAAATCTAGTTTTTATACCCTGCACCATAAAGTATGTGGTATTTTAAATGTGTCATTCCGCAATTCCTCGGCATATTCGAATTGGACCCAATAAAGTGTACATACATATTTTATGCAATATAGTAACAAAGAAAGTTTTAAAGTTATATTAAAATGTTCTAAACGAACTTCTACAAGCCTTTCACAGGCCTTAAGCCAAGCATTTAGAAACCGGCTATGGGTAGTCTACACCACTATGTTTTAAGTCAAAGAGTCTGTAGATCTGAAACCCTTTTGACTTGAATGAACGAATTTCTCATGACATTGGAATACAAAATTAGACTGCTTAAAAATTATTCCAAATATCTGGTTCGTTCTCTAGTTGTATATTGTTAGGATTTATGAATAATGTATTAATTTCTGAAACCAATATTTTTCGGGAAACGACGTTGGATAGATGAACATGTCATAATTGTAACCATATCTTAATTTGTGCCAAAGCCACGAGACAAAATTTTTTGGAAAATGTATTATATTTACATCCTCTCCCATGCTAATGGATTCAAAATTTAGATAACTGGGTACATTTTTATTCTATTTTCTGTCTATATACGTCAACGAAATTAATGAATCAATGAAAAGGTGTTTTTCCAATTAATAATAGTTGCTAACATGTTACATGTTATACTATGGTAATTTAAAATGTCAGGTCTCTGACTTGTCCTCCACTCTAACCACACGCGTCAATTGGTCAATTGGCCTGTAGAGCGACTGCAAAATCAATGTAGGTTTTGGTCCATTTTATTCCTCCAAAAAATAGGCTTCATATATTGACCCTGGCTCTAACCCCAAAAAATGTTGGTGAGGTTCCGTTCATAGTTGCGACCAGTAGAGTATCACAATTGAACATAGATTAACGAGCGGAAGAACATAAAAAAGTTTGGGTTCATTTTATTCCCTAAATATTTTGCGACCATTTCCAAAAAAATATGCTTCTATATTGACCCTAGCCCTGACCTCATATACAGGGTGAGATGAAAAAAACCTTAACCAACTTCAGACTGCTGTAATTACGAAGCCACACGTGCGACAGCTGTTAAAATTATTCCAGTGACAGCTTGTTTACAAGCATACAAAAACATTTTCGTGACAATTTTTCAGAAAAAAGTTATTCATGATGGAATTCAAGCGTGATAGTTAGAGCACTCCAGCATTTAAATGTGAATAAATCTTGTGTCTCGAACCAACGCTCGTTACCCTGATACAGGTAGCGTAGCCCGACGTCAAGAAAGTGGACGGAAGAAAACAGCAACATCAGCAAAAATAGTTCCAAATCTGTGGATGAAAAATGACTCGTAAGCTTAACATATCGCAATATTCCATTCGGCAAATATTGAAAAATGAGCTCGTTGAATTGAAATTCCAAAAAGTGTAAGAATTTACACCGCAACAGAAAGCAAATAGACTCAAAAGAGTTAAAGATGTGCTTCGCTTGGGCAAAAGTGGTGAACTGCCGAATTTGGTTTTCTCCGATGAAAAAACATTCATTGTCCAGCAGTGTGTAAACAAACAAAATGATCTTGTTCACTTGCCAAAGAGGTCAGCTGAAAATGAGTACCTTCGGTTGACCACCAGAACTCAAACACCGGCCATGGTGATGGTGTAGGCTCCATAACAGCCAATGGTCGCTCTCCGCTCGTATTAATCGACTATGGCATGAGAAAAAATTCGGAATATTATCGCTAAAATAGTCTGGAGGGTGTATTAAAGCCTTGGGCACGAAAACATTTTGCCCGCAGACCTTGGACATTCCAACAGGGTTCAGCACCATCGCACTCAGCACGCGCCATCCAATCCGTTGGACTATTGTGTCTGGAGTATCTTGGAAAGCAAGGTTGGCACTAAAAAATATCAAAGTGTCGATCACCTCAAGCAAGCGCTTCGCCGGAAATGGTCCAAAAAACCGCAGAGCAACATTCAGGCAGCGTGTGATGGCTTCATTGGCCGTTTGAAGGCCATAATTCGTGCCAAAGGTGACCAATTCGAACAAATCTAAACTTATTTTAAAATTGGATGCTATTTCCTACATTTTTGTTTTTTATTCAATAAAATTTAAAAAAAAATTGTGGCGTTTGACTTTGTTGCAGTTTTTTTTATCTCGCACTGTATATGGAACTTCGTTTTGCATATTTTTCAATAATTGTATGTTTTCGTTTTATTCTAGGCCTTTGATCAACATTTAAATATGGTACTAGGAGATGCTGAAGAGACGGTCACGACTGTAGAAATTGACGAAGAAACCTATGAAGAGGTATACAAGACCACTAAAAGAACTATTCCCATGCTATTTGTTCGGGGCGATGGAGTTATTCTAGTTTCACCACCCATGAGAGTGGGTTAACATATACACTTAGATTTTCAATTTCTTAAATATATAAATAAATATTTAATAATATATCTAAAGTGTGTAAAATTTCTCGAACGTTCCCAACGTTTTTCATATCGGCATTAATGGGGAAATAAATTTAATATTTCATATAGAATATGAACTATGAACTGCACTAAGATTCGATATTTTAAAGAAATCCAGACTTGAATTGATTTAGAAAGGCTGCATACATTTTCCCTTATTGTTTTATATTAACAATTCAATTATTAGATGCTCTTGTTTTTTGGAGCTTTACTTAACGCAATATACACTTTGCTTTAAGAAAATTATAATTTTACAGCACTTTTACTAAATGGTTTCCTTAATTTTGTAAATGTTTTCAAAACCGCAAAAATACAGCTATGATCCCGACTTCAATCATTCACCATGTTTAAAATCGGGTCACAAAGCTCATTGGGCTTTAATTATTGGTTATCTAATAACAGATAACGATGAGGTAATTTCACATGAATTTCACACTTATTCTAACAAACTCCATAAAAGTCCGTATTCTCTTTTTAGTTTTATGTCATAGCACGACATGGTAAAGCGAAAAATCTTGCCGTTTGGTCTCTTCAATCGCTGAGTGATAGCAATGCAAATTTGATAGAATTTGCCCAGCCCAAAGGATATCCTGATTGTGATTTTCTTCTGCCGCCTGGTGGTATTGGTGGAAATTTAGGTTTAAGAGAACGTGCCATTATTGTCAAAGGATTGCCGCTTGAAACTACAACGATTAGTTAGAAAAATATATATACGAAATTACTGAGGAAGTTATTTATAACGACTATTCAAAACGAAATTGTTTGGAAATTTGTTGTCGTTATAAACGAAATCTACAGTTGTATTCATAGATTTTTCATTGCTCTATACTTAACAACGAACTTAATTATTCATATATAGCCATTTGTAAAAATTGTATTTATTATTTTTGCCAATTTATGTTTATTGTCATATTCTAGCCATGTATACAAATACCTTTTTTAAATGAAATATTTGTTTTAATTTGATTATTTTTGTGCGGATTTTGTTATATACATTTTGTATTAGTTATTTTTTTATTTTATATATTTTTTTAAATATTCGTCCATGGGTAAAGGGTATTTTTGTTTTATTTTTACAACGAATGTAATAAAAATTAGTAGAAAAAAATTTTGGTTTTATTTCCGACTTTCTAAAAAAAAGGGGGGGAAAGAACTTTTATTAAAATCGCGTAAGATGGAAATATTCTCTTGAGACCCCATAAAGAACGATATTTATCTATAAACCCTCCAGCATATTTGTCTCTTTGTTTGTATCTCTTCAAAATAATCCCAAAGTATATATTCTTTATCAGCGTAAAATTCGAAGTCTATTTAGCGAAGTCCATCTGTATGTTTGCAAATTGATATACAATGCTAAACTTTAATACACGTGTGTATTTTGTCAGTAGGAAGGTCAAGTTCGTAAATGAGCCAAATCGTTCGGTATCTTGGTGATTTAAACAACGTTTTTTAACAAAATTGTTTAAAATTCAGTATTTGGAATTCATACCGGCATAAAATTTTTAACATTTTACATTTTTACGGTACCTGTAGGTGTTCGATATTTTGATAATTTTAGCACAGATCGGCAAGAATGTAAAATTTTTTCCTATGATAGCCGATTTTGCCTTTATGATATCGAAAAAAATGCAAAACTAGTAGATTCTTGCAGGTTCTGAAACAGAGCAATTGTGAATCAAGGAATATTAAAAACATGTTAAATAATATCAGTCGATGTTGCCGACAGATGTATACCCTCAGCCAATGTTCGATATGTTTAAATATATTTTGACTTCTGTTATGATTATTCAAATTGTTGACCCTCTATGGAGTAGATTCCGAAGGAATGGACCAAAATAAATATTATATAAATATTTTGATGTTCCAGGTTTGGACTATATTGGTTACTTCCTTCACTTTAAATGAAATATGCGATAAATTTTAGAAAATGTTAAAATATGGGTGATGTACCAGATATAGTCGATCGAAATATTCCATTTTTATACTTTATCTAATACAGATAAAAATATTGGTATGGGCAAAATTACAAGAAAATCGAAAAATTATATCCAATTTCATGCGAAATCAAGAATTCCATATTAATGCCCTGTTTGTGGTTGAGAGAAATATTTAGACATTGCACTCCCTTCGAGTGTTATCGTGTGCACCAGCCAGACAGACAGACGGACGGACATAGCTAAATCAACTCCAAATGTCCTGAAACGGATTTAATCCAAAGAGACCTAGGGACTAAACCCGTTATTTCGCCTAGACACGTTTCAGCCGTATCATATGATATATACCCTGTAGCCATATGGCTGAGGGTATAAAAATGGATGATTTTCAAAAATATTGTTAATATGTAGCCAGGGACTCTATCTCAAAATAAAATATATTTCCGGAGTCATGGACAATATTAATACATATGTTATGAAGATTAACATGTTTCTTATCAATATATGTCATCTATTAGTCTCTTTAGATTTCTCGAAGATGCTGAAATTGGAAACTTTCATCAGATGCGGAAATACTAAGACACAGACAATTATCTTGGCCAATGATGTAAAAACATTTTAATCTCCTAAAATATGCATTGAAATGGTATTTTTAGAATCCATAAATTATAATATGAGTATGGTAAAATACATAACATTTTCTAATATATAAATACATTATTTCGACGGTGGCTGGCTCCATCCAAGCTTAGTATAACATCTCTTACATAAAATAATAGATTTACGTTTCAGTTATTAATTAACAAGATTAGAACCACTTACCATTCCATTCTTTTGACATTCATGAAGAATAAAGATGCTAGTAATGTATTCGGACGACGAAAGCAAACCCAATTAAATTCAAATCATTTTTTTCAAAACAAGACATTAATCAAAATCGCGAACAAAAGAACTCTCACAATTTGCAAAGATTAAGTTTTTAAAATGGATGTAAACACATTTAACAGTTTTTGTTTTCAATGAAAATTTGGGAAATGTTATTTATTTCATTGATAAAAGCTTTTGATGTAAAAAGAAATTAATTTGCTTTGAAATGTCACAATAATGGTTTAAGTCCAAACTAAAAACTTTTTGAAAGGAAAGCTCGAATACACCACCACAATTCTCGGATAAAGCTTAATCTGAACACGCACATTAAAATGAAGCTATTACCGATGTGGAAACGGATAGAAATTGGTTGATATTGCACAGAACTTATATTGCTATTTCACTCTCTCATTCATATCGCAAACAAAGGGAAACGGAAACCGCTTTAAGGTTGTTGTTTTGATATTTCTTTAAGCTTTTAAATTGAACGCGCACAAAGAACGAGGAAATGTATAAAACACACACACACACAAATAAAAGTCCAAAATATGCAATTTATTGTCGAATGTTTCATTATTTGACAAATTTCAGTATATTATTCCATATAGCTTCGAGTTATTTCTACAAGTTTAAAAAATGATTTTATGGGTTTCTTTTTTCATTAATTTAACAAGGAAATTCACCGAGTTTTGCGACGAACATGCACATCATATGAACGCGACGATAAAACTAAATGAGTACGCAATTTTTGCATTTTATGAGACTAAGAGGAAGAGAGAGACATAACAAAGTGAATTCAATGGAGTAAATGAAGTCTCTCATTGTTGTTGCTAACTTTAACCAAATAACCGAAGACATTCAAATTGAATTGAATGATTCAATTGACTTGATGAAATTAACATTCTCTCTTTTTGCAGAAATGATTAATATCTCACAGTACTTTTATTGCTATTTCACTCTTTCATGCTCATTCCAAACAACGGACACTGAAGCCATTTAGGGATTTTTTTGTTTCGATTTCAGTTAAAGCTTTTGAATTAAACGCGCACAAGAAGCAACAAAATGCATAAAACACACACACCCATACACCAATAAAAACCTAATTGATGCAGATTGTTGCACAATATTTTATAATTTGACAATATTTTTCAGAATTTTCAGAAAGAATTTTAATAGTTTCGACTTATTTCTACTGATATAAATAATATTTTCTTGATTATGATTAATATAACGGGGAATTTCACGGATCAGTACGCGGAGCTTGCACATCTGATGAACGCGACGGAAGAACTAAATTAATTCGCAATTTTTGCATTTTTTGAGACTCGGAGGAAGAGAGAGACATAGCGAAATAATTTCAATAGAGTAAATGGAGTCTCTCATTATTTCACTCTTTCATGCTCATTCCAAACAACGGACACGGAAGCCATTTAGGGATTTTTTGTTTCGATTTCAGGTAAAGCTTTTGAATTAAACGCTCACAAGAAGCAACGAAATGCATAAAACACACACACATACACCAATAAAAACCTAATTCATGCAGATTTTTGCATAATATTTTATATTTTGACAATATTTTTCAGAGTTTTTAGAAAGAATTTCAATAGTTTCGACTTATTTCTACTGATATAAATAATATTTTCTTGATTACGATTAATAAAACGTGTAAGTTTACGGATCACTGCGCGGAGCTTGCACATCTGATGAACGCGACGGAAGAAATAAAAGAATTCGTAATTTTTGCATTTTTTTAAACACGGAGGAAGAGAGAGTCATAACGAAATAATTTCAATAGAGTAAATGGAGTCTCTCATTGTTGTTGCTAACTTTAACATGATAACCGATGATAGTCAATTGGATAGTGATAATGATTTGACAAAATGAATATTCTCTTTTCATACAGAAAAGGACAGGATATAAAGATTAGGTACATTTCAATGCGTATTTAGTAGAGCTCCCGTAACTAAAAATGTTTTTATTGGAAATTCATGTGAAATAGATCATACTAACTATGAACTTCATTTGAATGTGTATCATAGGTTTAAATTAGTCACCGGTCCGTGTTTCACCAAATGGAAAATTTCGGTTGAATATGAAAAAATCTATCTAGTTTGGGCTGATATTACATATATGGTGGACAATAACTATAAAATCGGATGAACATGTACAGGGTGAGTCTGATGTTCATTTCTAATCCACTCGTCTGACAGCTGTTAAACTTATTCCATTATATATTGTTTACAAGCGTACAAAAGCATTTTGATGAGAATTTTCCAGAAAAATAGGTTTTCGTGATGGAATTCAAGCGTAATAGTGTGATTTCTTTATATTTGGCTGGAAAACCACAAGTGGTTATCGTTAGAGCACTCCAGCATTTAAATGTGAATAAATCTTTTATGTCTTGTACCGTCGCGACTTGATTGAAACCAGCGTCGCATTGGCCAAAATGGCTCGTGAGCTGAACATACCGCATTATTACATTCGGAAAATATTGAAAAATGAGCTCGAGATAAAGCCATTGAAATTACAAAAAGTGCAAGTACTTACACCGCAACAGAAAGAAAATAGACTCAAAAGGGCTAAAGTGTTGCTTCGCTTGGCCGAAAGTTGTGAACTGCCGAATTTGGTTTTCTCCGATGAGAAAACATCCGTTGTCCAATAGTTTGTAAACAAACAAAATGATCGTGATCGATGATTACTTGCCAAAGAGGTCAGCTGAAAACGTACACCTTCGGTTGGCCACCAAAACTCAAGCGCTGGCCATGATGATGGTGTGGGCCGCCGTAACAGCCGATGGTCGCTCTCCGCTCATATTAATCGACCGTGGCATCAGAATAAATGCCGAATATTATCGCGAAAATATTCTGGAGGGTGCATTAAAGCCTTGGGCACGCAAACATTTTAGCCGCAGACCTTAGACATTCCGGCAGGACTCTTCACCATCGCACTCAGCACGCGTCACCCAAGAATGGTCACAAAATGAGGTTCTTCACTTCATTTGCAGCGCATAATGGCCACCAAAATCTCCGGATACCAATCCGTTGGACTATTGTGTCTATTGTATTTTGAAAAGCAAGGTTGGCACTTAAAAATACTAAATACTTGAAGCTATTTATTTAAAAAAATGTAAAAATTAGGTCGTTTGACATTGTTCGATAAAATTTGGAA